CCTTAGCCACTAACCATCAACACCGATTATTCTTAAAATTAAATTATGCAGTGTACAATTTTGCCAAAGGTAATTAATTATGTCTATTAAAATTCTGTCGTCTTAACGGTATGCCAGTGTGAATTCAGACATATAAACATTCGGCTAAACAATAATTATAATTACAAAAGTGCTTTAAAAATAATCGTTTAAAGAAGATGCTAAGTCTGCCTTGTAAGTGTCGCCGCACACGGGCCACACGCCATAGCCACAAACGGCGCCACAAGAAGCCAGAAGCGACTACTAAAGTCGCTGAAGCGCGGGACAGCGGCCGACTAAGGTAAGGGAGAGAGGGGTGAGGAATCGCGCGAGTGACGCGTTTTGTATCGGCGCATTAAGTGGCCGGTGCGGGCCACAAGAAACGAACAACGACGATTTGTAGCGTGTGGCTGCCACCCGCGTACCGTGAGTGGCGAGTCCATATAAAATGTATGAAAACTATAAGAAATATGCCGGTGGCGGCGTTTTGTAGTTGTGGTCGGTGGCCCGTGTGCAGCGACACATAGTATAACATTTTAAACTATGCCACTATCGAGCCGTGCTAAATAAAATAAACAGTTTTTTAAATACAATGAATTTTCATTTATGATTTTTTAAATTAAATAATATATTTAACTTTCTTGAAAATTGTTGTAAATTTCTTATCTAGTAAATAATAATGCCACTGTCTGGCCGCAAGGTAGGTTATCGTGTTCTGTAATTTCAAACTCATCATAGATGATGAGATTTTAATCTTTAGGCATTGTAAAACAAGAACAGAATAGTTTATACGTGATACCAACGCACTTAATAACGGGTAAACTTTCAAAGCTATACTTTTCAAGTGATTGTAGATTTATTATTTTGTTTTGCTTGTTTAGCTATAATTGAGTTAATTAAGTTTGTATTGTTCTTTCAACACCAACAAGCCTATTGTGTAACTCAGCTGTCAGCTCATAATGGTAAACATCAAGAAAAGTTCCGAACAGCAATTTGTTATACAGCTGTTCCCTGTGGCTTTTCTGTCACAGATATCCCTTAAGCCACTTGTTCCTGAATTAACTTTGCTTGCACTACTGATTAGGTATACAAAACATAAAAAAATTAAGAATCGACAAAAATAATAGTTTAGTAAAAAGCAATTGTTTCTCAATGACAACACATAATTTATGCATTTTATTAAATGGAGTTATTTTATATTCTCATGTTATCACATGACAATATAAAATTACTTATTTACATGCTATCGACAAGAAGTTTTATATTAAAGGAATGGGAGTTTGGATGACATGGTGATGGTTGCTGGTGCAGAATGTATCTATCGCATCATATCACCAGCAACTGTCTTCGCCTTTTGGACCCTAATCCCAAAAAATATTAAATGATTTCTGTGCAGAATATTGTCTTTTTTTATTCCATTTTGAGAAGATTTTGTAGGAAATAATTAAATTTCTATGTTGGAATAATTACAGTTAAGTTAATTCGTTCGTGCTGAATATTTTTTATGGACCATTCAGCCATAATATAATTAAGTAGGTATGTAAGAACATACCTACTTAATTATATTATGGCTGAATGATTAATATGTTTTTCTAACCTCGTGACGAAGTTTATCAATAATTTGTCTACCAAAAATTACATTTTGAAAGTAAAATATTTTATTTTTACATATTAATTTCTATAAATTTCTAAGAAATTACTTTGCTACGTCATAAGCACTTCAGCTCAGTTTGATGTATATTGGTTCTTTTAAAATGCGTATGTTCGAAGTTTATTAGAATACGGTGCCATCGCCTAAGGCCCTTATGAGAAGAAATAAATATTTTGAATAGAGAGAGTGCAGCGCAGCCCATATCTGTTTCCGTCTTTATTTGTATCTAAAATAGTGGGGCAAGATACACTTAAACTTAGAAGGGTTGTGCAGTCGGTAAAACATTATCAGAGACAGCCAGCCAGAAAGCTTATTATTCTCAGTCAGGTAGGGTTATTGGCTCCCAAGCGACTGGCTTGGGATGTGGTGCCGCGAATTTCCCGGTAGTCTCTGACGTGCACCGGGTACGCCGCGCAAGCACCAACTACTCGTGCTTTACGCCTCATTGGAGATATGCTTGCACATGACTTTAACATTAACGTATTTGATGACGACTTTGGGCAGTTATTTAGAAAGGCCCTGTTTTATTGAAATATTGAATTGATACTCTTCTGAAAGTTGAAAAAATTTGTGATCATTTAAAAAAGAAACGCATACCCAAAACCTACACAATCTCAGACAAAAAAGGACTTGAGGAACAATAAACAATATTACTTTTTCTATTTTTCCGGAACTTCGCCGTAAATTATTGGAATTTTGTATTCAGTTATTAATGCAAAATTCAAATTAGTAAAATGACAAACTAGCCATTCATAAACTTTCCAACAAGGTACAAAATTTATTAACTTTAATAGCTGTTTTGATTAAGATCAGCGAAAGGGCAATCTTTTAATTTTGAATTGTAAATTGAAATACTGTCATATTGACTGTGTCACTACTTAATAAAGACACTCAGCTACTACAATTTGAAATTTTAAGCTTTGGCGTTGCATTTACGATTTATTTACATTGTCTTTTTAAATTCCTTTTATTTCTGTGATTGTATGAGTTTTGGGCAAGCATTTTTTTAAATGATCACAAAATTTTCAGCTTTCAGAGATGTATCAATACAATGTTTAGAGTGAAGTAGTTTATTCACAATTAAAGGGTTAATGCAAAAAGTCCGAAAAATTCTAAAACATCGAAGAGCCGTTTCAACTCGGTAACCAGTTTTGACCCCCCAGTTCACTGGACTTAATTTGTTGCTAATGACATTTAGTATAACCCAAGTCAAGGAATAGGTCGAGTTTTCCTGTCAGCCTGTGTACCTAAATATGTTTGACATTATTTTGGACAAATTGTATTTTTTATTGTTTTCTTGTTTTGACTTATTTCAATAAACGTATTTCATTCTATCCCTATTTAATGTAATTGGTTTTGACATGCTGTTTATATATTTTTTACAATTGCTATGTATTATAAAGCTTTCTAATTTCGGTTATCATATCACAATAATGTATCATCCCAACATTGACTATCATATTTGATTATGACATGCTGTTCCTTGTCTATAAATTTTTATTTTTATGTTAGCTTGCTGACGTTTTGGATTAACTGTAAGCGTGTGTTTAACAATCTATCTTTATATATATAATTCTTCTGTGAGTGTGTATGTCACTGAACTTCTCTTAAACGACTGGACCGATTTTGATGAAATTTTTTGTGTGTGTTCAAGGGGATCTGAGAATGGTTTAGATTCACAATTTTGTCCGCTGGACAACCCCTATTTTTTTAGGGCGGTACGAAGTTCGCTGGGTCAGCTAGTATATATATATATATATATATAAATCAATTGCTGTTCGTTAGTCTCGCTAAAACTCGAGAACGGCTGAACGGATTTATCTTATCTTGGTCTTAAAATATTCGTGGAGGTCTAGGGAAGGTTTAAAAGGTGAGAAAATTTCGAATTCTGCACTACAGCTCTACACCGAAGCGAAGCGAGGGCGGGCCACTTGTAATAAATAAATATGAATCAATTGGTCAATGTTAATGTAATGATATGAAATATTTAACATTATATTTGATTAGGCCAAAAATATTTCTCACGATCAAAATTTAAAAAAGACAAACCGGCAAGTGCTAGCAGAATTTAATATTAGGATTATTAAGCGAAAGGTGATTTATTTCGTCGCATTCAATCATGGAATTTTCGCCGATAGCATGACTTTCTGACGTTGAAAAATGTTATTCGTTTAGGCATTGTTGACGTCCAGAAATATAAATTTTCTCCTCAGTCAACCCCTATATATGTGTGTTCACGTAAGTGACCAGAATAAATACTACGTTGGAATATTTGGAAAGGTCTATTTGATTACTTGAATGTGAAGTGTAGGGTATCTAAGTAATAGTAGTCTTGTACCGAACAAAAATATATGAATAATATAGACCAGTAATTTATATGTTGGTATATCGTTTAGGGCTGGGAGCGTACTGTAACGTTAACTCTTGGGAGTAAGTTAAGGATTGAAGTTATAAAATCGATAAATTCATAATAAATCAATGTATTATGAACCTCGTCAAGCGATGTTTTATTCTACTGCACCCATAACCTAGCTAATTATAGTAAGATGGACGATGATGGCGATATCTATATACCAAAAATATACGAATATTTATCTCGTAGGATTCACTTCCCAGTTCGAATCAATGTAGGAAATGAACTTGTACCGAATTATATCTGGGTTGATGTGGAACCTTCACATTTCACTACTAGCTTTAGTAATGACCCAATGCTGGGGCATATGCCTTCCCAATTTGTCGGGCCTAGTGCGGATTGGTGAATGCTTACGTCTGCAGATGCAGTCGAGACCAACGGCTTAACGTGCCTTCCGAAGCAAGGGGGAGCTAGAAATAATAAGTAAGGTCATCCAATGACGTTTGTTTTTAACGTTGGTTTAGTACAGAACATACAGAACAGGTACCAGTACAGACCATTGCGAAAGTTCCTTAACTTCCAAATTCGCAGGCCCAACGCGCAATCCTCGTCTCCTGCGCTATCGAGGTTCTCAATTATAACTTTCACATTTACCATAAAATGATTGCGATTGTAAAATTGAGATTGTATTATCATTATAATTTGATCTTATTTCTTCTGCAAAAATAGTTAACTGCATGTAAGTAAAAATATTTCTCTTAATGTTCTATATATACTTAAGTAACAGATACGTTCGAAGGTCAGAGCGTCTGAAATAAGCGAAGATATTTTGAGATTATGTACATCTGCAAAGGAAAGAGGAAAGAATAATAGCATCGTTCGGGGCGTGGAATTGCCCCATGTGTTGTACGGGAAGAGTTTTTTTGAATTTATAACATGGTTACTACGATTACTGTTTAATATTATGCATGGAATAACCATTGTGCTCCATTTAACTAATTGAATAAAGTTCTCAGAAGATAAAAGAGTATTATTGTATTTTTTGGTGTTACGCAATACAATTTCATTGATTAAAATTTGTAATAATGTAAAGTGACGTGAAGTGAGTAGCATTCGATAATATTAATTAATTTAATGCTACGTTTTAATAAGTGCAAACATTATTGTAGTGTTAGTTCGAAAATACGACACACACAGGGCAGGTATTGTGGTTGGGAGCACGACGTAGAAATGACGTCTCCAAATATAAAAGTGAATACGTTCTTTAAAGAAAAGAAAAAAACGCCGTTCATCGATGCCCAGTCAAAATTCTTCATAATAGTGGAAAGTATTCTGGGTTTGAACAGAACGCCTCTGTTGTTCAGCAAAAAGAGAAATCTAGTTGTGGCGATTAGTTTTGGCTACTGCTTTCTATTCAAAGCTGCTCTTGTCTACGGAACATACAGGAAGAAGGAATTGTTCGTACCTCAATTTTTATGTTTTATCGAGTACGGCTTTTGTTGTTTATTCAGTTTGATAACGTGGAAGAGAATGGAGAGATATTATTCTGGGTTGAACATGTTCGATAATGAAATCGGATGTCGACCTCATTTGGTAGCAGCCTCCATGAGGAATCTTTGCTGCATGCTGGTCTTCTCGATTTCCGTTGGCGTATTCTACTTTTTGACCGATCAGTTTGAATTGTCTATAGATATGAATATTATGGTCATGCCTATGAGCCTTATTCATTGCTTGGAATTGTTTTATTATGGTCAGTTACTGAGCTTGCTCATACCAAGGCTGGGTTTGATTAATTACTACGTCGAGTCCGCCTTGTCCAGCGGTGAGAGTGTAGCCAGGCCGAAGCTTGACGAGTTTGGGTTATTCAAAGAGAAACACTGCAAGAACAGAGAAATGAGTAAGTTGATGGATATGTACTATATTGCCATAAAAGCTTATGACTTCTTGATTGACGCTATAAAATGGCAGGTAATTATAATCTTTTCTTATTATTTAAATTCTAAATTATTCCTAGTTCCTAGGCTTCATGTAGCTAAATATTTATTTATTTAAATGAAATATTTATGCTTTTAAATTAAATTTTAATTTCGTTAATTTAAAAACAAAAGTTTTCTTAAACAGATAGTAAAATGAAGATACCCAAACGGGAGTAGGAATTGCGCATGAATGGTATCGTCCTAGCGGCCATCTATTAGGTAATCACGTAATGTTTTTAAAAACACCTTTTTTACTCTCCCACGTGTTAAGGTTTTATTTTGAACCTGCTCCCTTCACCGAAAATCATGTGTATTTTTTGATACAGAGTAGGGATCTTATTCTATACATATATATATTCAGAATAAATCAATGGTCAAAGGCGTGCACCGCATTTCGGTTTAGAAATTGCGCGTCCAATGAAAACATAAGTCCAATGAAAACTACACAAGACATCTCACCACAGCTCTTAAAGGGGGACCTTTGTGATATTTCGTAATTTGTTCCGAACCCCTTCACCTTCATTCGAGCTATCTAAATTGAATGAATGAAATGGTCCCTCTTAGGGGATTTGAGCTAAAAATCGTCTCGTTTCTTGTATCGAGGTGGTAAGTATCTATGAAAAAAAATTATCATATTTCACATGGTGGGAAAACTCATTCTGGCATGGAAATTGTAACTGTCTACTTAGTATGGTTCATGCAAGGAACCTCGGTAACTAGGTATACAACTTTATTGGGTTCACGGGATATGGAATGTTGACAGGTAGATATTTTCCAAAAAAATAAATCTCAATCCTAAAAACAGCAATTACCATGGCTACCGAACACAAATTTTCTTGAAATTGAAAGACGTCGATATTTACAGAGATTTAAAAACATACTTTTTTGGGTTCCGTACCTTAGGGGTAAAAATGTGCTATGCGTCTGTCTGTCTGTCTGTATGTCACGGATCTCTAGATCGTAAACGGAATGAAGTAAAGAATTGAAATTTTGATATTTTATCTAGAATGCGTTCGTGGTTTGTTGGACGGTACCCTTCGTACGCGAGTCCGACTCTCACTTGGCCGGTTTTTAATATCTATTACTAGTACCTTTTTTTACCGTACATGTTTAATTTGACATTATAAGTAGGCAATTTATTGTTGCAGTTGGTTGTGATCCTTATAACAACATTTGGCGTCACTCTGAATTTTTGCTACCATGTTTCTTTGAGCATCATTCGGAATGAGGTAAGTGTGATGATAAATGTTTTTTCGTTTTAGCCAACTGCCGTATATTTTCAATACGTTCATCAAATTGCTGGTTTTCAGCATTCGAGGCATCGTCAAAATGCTATTGGTGTTGTATTTTGTTGATGCCTAGATTCGCGACTGCCATTTCACACATAACATTGATTACATAACCCAGATTGTCACACTTACACAACCACCTTCACTTTGTATAGCATGACAAGTTCGTAAATTTCATACGTTTTCTAGACCTTTAAAACTTCTTAATTTATAATGTACTACATTTTTAATATCAAATCCGTTATTATTGAATTTTTCAAGGTTAACTTTGATGATTTGTAATAAGAGCCAGATTGTTCTTCCGCTGGGTGCAAAGTACTAAGTGGGGGTAGTATATTCTATCACAGTGCTCATATTGACAGTGGAAAAAAATAGAACCAATGTAGGCTCTGTTTTCTAGAAATAAGAAAGGTTATAGTGGAAAAGAGGTGAAGATTGTTAAGCCCCAAAAATAAAAGATAGTTTTTAAAAGAAGAGACTCGAGAAACATGTCATGCCAGGTGTTATTTTTTTTATTTTTTTTTCAGCCTCATTTTATTTTTATATAAACTCTATTATTTATAAACTGTCTTTCAATTAATATTTGTTACTATTATTTCTTTTCGAGCAAGAAATTAATAATATAAACGTGTGAAAAACTTGTGAGAAATTCAAATTAATTGAAACGCGACGAGAGCGGTTGTGACGTTAAAATATATTTTATAACAAACAATTGTGATGTTCATAGGCTGTGCCAATGTCAACGAGATTATAGTGCAAGAGAGTAGATTTTAAAGCCGCGTTCCACTTAGACACCGAATGCAACTTTTGACTATGACATTTAATTTTTTACCAAGAATGTATGAAACATAATGTCTATTTCATTGACGTAGGTTCGGATTCTCATCCACAGTGAAGATATGGAACGCAAAATGGCAGTATCTTGTAAGGTCATTAATCTTGTTTGTAGGTTTAATGAATCGTGACGTTACATTCAAGCGTTCCAAACAGCGCGCGCTTAAACTGCCCGTGCAAAGTGGCTATTTTTAAAATTAGACACTTTATGCTGTTTTCGACGTTGATTTTTTTTATACTGTATAAGGGGGATGTAAACTACTAAATAAAAATTTTAAAAAATCATGCATATTCCGTTTTCACGTCGAAAGAATAATGCAAAGGTTAAGACTTTAGAAAATTTTCCAATGCATCGATGACATTGTATATTTATCTGCTGTGAACTGGTATATTTACTGTCCCTAATATTAAAAAAAAATATGCATCCGTAAATACTGTTTATTCATGATGAGGTTGAACTATTGAAATCTGTCATTTTTGTTCTTAATTCCTTTACATCCCGGACATGTCCAGAATATACCAAAAACTGTTCCTTTAGAGGCGGTTTGTGGTTGTAAATTGTGAGTCTTCAGAATAATACTCATTTCGATCTGCAAACGATATTTAATTTTTTACTAGCGATACAGGTTCAATATACAGAGTGGCCAATTCAATGACGTCCAAAATTTTTTCGGGTGCCTATTTATGATTGTTTTATTATGGTTGTGTTAACCCACTAAGGTTCGCTGATAGATAGTTTACAGGGCAATGTGCGACAGGTGTCGATACCTATCTGCAGTGCTAATTTTTTAAACGGTTTTATTTAGCTCACCCCGTTTGTTTTATTCTTGGGTCAAATTTAGTAATTCAAATTTCACCCTCTTCCTGTCAACCGATTAATCTGAAATTTTGTATACACTTTGGATTTTGGTGACAATACAATTATGTTTATTCATTATCATTATAAATTCAAGATGGCCGCCGCTACAAAATGGCGGATAATTTATGTTTTATTAATCCCATCAATATGGTATCAAATGAAAGGGCTCAACAAGCAGAATACAATATACTTTAAAAAATTGAAATCCAAGATGGCGGCCGCTACAAAATGGCGGATAACGTAGGTTTTATCAATCCCATCAATATGGGTATCAAATGAAAGGGCTCAATAAGCAGAATACAATATACTATAAAAAATTGAAATCCAAGATGGCCGCCGCTACCAAATGGCGATAACAATTTTTTATCAATCCCACCAATATGGGTATCAAATAAAAGGGCTCAATATTTAAGATGGGCGCAGCCACTAAATGGCGTATAATAATAAGATTTAAATTTAGAAATTGAATCTGTAATTTAGGTATCTGATTAATCCAGCCTGAATCCACCACCCAAGTCAAGATTTTGTATCGTGTTGAGGACTGTGTGGCGTTAGGGTGGCTAAAAATGATACGTCGTTAGCGGTACACCACCCAAGTTAAGGTGAAAGGTTAAAACGCGCCGAGAACTGTATGGCATTAGGGTGGATAAAAATGATATGTCGTTAGCGTTTTCCCCTCAAGACTCAGGCGCATCTTGTTGTACATAGCCTTGCCCCTTTATTGGACCTCTGGGGGGTCGACCGTTTAAATGTCCATTACTCGTGGGAACAAAATGCGAAATAAAAACTAAAAACTAGAAAATAAAAATAGGTAAAAAAACTTTTTAAGTTAAACGGTTTTATGTTAAACATACATTGCAATGTTTAAGATAAATGCACTAAAAACCAAAAAATAATAAAATAGATACAGTCGTGGGAATTATAAACATATGCATAGACTAGACTAAAATAAAACCGTGGGGCACGTCAATTGTCTACAATCGTTGATTAAAATGTTTGTTTTGTAATGTTACACTATAATTAGGCAGTTGTTCAACCGACAACGATGGACGTCTGATAAGTAGGGCTAGAATGTGGAAACAAGCTAGCAAGCTCGATTATAAGCGAGTTTTAGGGTTTCATAGTGGTGAGCGAGTAGTACTTTTATCATATGTTTTGTCGATTAAAGACAAACTACGAGCAGTGAAACGATTCCTCGCCAGCCAGCAGTGTGAATATCCAACGATAAACTAGTTGAAACATCTCTTTTATTTACATGGAGTGTATAACTATTGGAATTTCCATGAGCAAGAAAATAGTAATTTCCTCACCGTCTGCGGGCCAACTGCCTAACGACGAATTAAACTATTCTTCTATCGCACATTAAGTCGATAATTTGTAGACAATTGACGTGCCCCACGGTTTTATTTAGGAACGAACTCACTTTTCACCTCGTAATCAGCGGTGTGATTTAAAATAAGAACACAAATTTCAAATAAATTTCAATACACACAGGCGAATTCCGCGGTGAAAAGCGAGCTTGTCCTTACAGAATAGCACGGCTGCTGATTAAACGGAGCTGTCAGTCGATTGATCTACCCATTTGCACATAAGTGCGTTGTGTGTTATAAATTACAGAATCCATTTATGGACATAATGAGTGACATGGGGATAATAGCGGTGGAGATGATACCGCTGTTTTCGCCGTGTCTCTTCGGCGACCGCGTCCACAATGAGGTGCGCCGGTTGAGGGAACTAATCGCCTCCAGACTCTACGAGAACAAATTGGGTAAGAAAACATATGAATAAAATAGTATTCCTCCGTGGTGTGCGTGAAATCACCCCGGTTTTCAAGGAGTCGCCTTCTCAGAGGTCCTGCGTTCGATACCGGTGGGGCAAGTGAACCGGCCGGCCGGTTATATCATGAACGAGCCATGGCGTTTATACATTTACGTAGAAATATATACATTTATATGTATAATTTTAATGTATCATTATTAGTTACTCTAGTATTCCATAACATAAGCCTCGTGCTTACTTTGTTCGGGGCTAGGTTGATTGCTGTGACTGATTGAAATATTTATTCATTATTTTTATTCGTTTATTTATTTGAACAATGTTTCTTAATAATGAATGGCTAGCAAAATATGTTCGCGTACCAATTTAGTTTAGTTTAGTTCCCTGTGTTTACTCCACTAGGTGCATACCACGACGATTAATTTATGTATGTTTGCCACATTGCTTTGTGACCCCAAAAGTGAACGGCTGGAAACAAATAAGAATAAGGTACATATACAATACAATACAATACAATACAATACAATACAATACAATACAATACAAAAACTCTTTATTGTACACCACAAAAAAAACATTGAACATTAAGTACACAACCATCTAGTACACGTGATGCAATGGGCGGCCTTATCGCTTAAAGCGATCTCTTCCAGGCAACCTTTGGATGGAGAGGATTAGAAGGAAGTGGGAGAGACGGCGGTGTAAATCGCTGGTAAACTATATAATATATTAGTATATACATACATACACCATACATATATAAGATTGTGCCGTGCACGGGAGTCATAAGAGCAAGATTTTCTGATGATCTTAAAGATAACGTGTTACAATTATGCAAGAAATTAAAACTTTCCTTGAGATAGCGCGGGGACTTGGGATTGAACAATATGTTGTAAAGAAGAGAAAGGATATGAGTATTCCGGCGAAGGCGAATAGGTAGCCACTTGAGCTGTGAACGAAATTGAGAAACATGATCATATTTGCGCAAGCCAAATATGAAACGGATACAAAAAATTTGAAGTCGCTCAAGTTTGTTAAGCTGGTCCTCCGTGAGATTTAGATAGCAGACGTCGGCATAATCAAGTATAGGAAGGAATAAAGACTGTGCTAAGGCAATTTTGGTGGTGATGGGCAGAAAATTACGGAGTCTCCTAAGTGATGCTGCTGAAGCATACAATTTGCGACTGACCACTTGCATCTGCGGACCCCAACTCATACAGTTATCAAACGTTAATCCTAGGTTTTTTACCGATGTGCTAAAAGGGATAAGATTTCCAGCAATTTCGATGTTGGGTAGTGACTGCCAGTCCACTCTATCTAACATTCTAGAGCTAATCCAATTACTATGCTAGTTGTTTTGGAGGGATTTATTTCCAACCCAAAAGATTTGCTCCACTCAGAAATCACAAGTAGATCACTGTTTGTAGCCTGCACTGCATCACCAAGTTGACCAAGAGGAGCTTGGCGATAGATTTGTAAGTCATCTGCATATAGGTGGTAGGAAGAAGAAATATTGTTTGAAACGGAGTTAATTAATACAGCGAAAAGAAGAGGAGATAAGTATATACATATACAGTCTTCAATATAAAAATGATTTTCAGTCTTCTCTACTAAAGAGGTCATCAAGGCTCCTTTCAATATTATGACAGTCAAAAAAACCTGACTCGTGCTTGTGAAGTAAGTAAGTAATGTAATAGTTGACCATGTAAGTTAGTTACCTAGTTTAACTGCAATCGTTAGCACAGACACCCAAACTTTAAAATTCTCTTTTGGACAACATAGATTACGTATTTAGAAATATATTTTGTGACTGGATAGTCAATTTAAGCATGTCTATTTTAATAGATTTTCGAGAATGATCGAAGAAAATAAGAGTAGGTAATATAAAAACGCTTCCTCAAGGGCGACATAAACTCGACGAAATAGCGTTACCGTTGGAAATGGGACAAGTTACTCCCCTCTTGAAAAAGTCCCGAGCACCGCGCAATGTAAATTTATGATTATTTCGCGGATGGCAGACAATTGTCTTCGCATCTCAATACTATAGTGGCAAAGCTATGGTAGACTGAATTATTGTCTTGAAAACGGCCTTTGTTAGCTGTACAATAGATGTTTGTAAGCCACAGCGCAGATAATGTAAGAAAAATTTAAGACATCAAAATGTATCTAGGTAAGTACGTATTTACATTTACTTCGTACAAAACCAAAACAAATTAGGTTTGGAAATCTAACACTGTTGTATTTTTTTTCAATATTTTAGACCCATCCAATATCAAATTGTCAATGATGCATAGGTAGGTAGGTATAGGCATAATAATGTAGCCTATAATAAAACGTCTATATAATTGTGAGTCCTTTTTGCTAAATTAATATACAGACTCAGTAGAAAATCAAGTAATTGACTTATTAATAGACAAGTCCACACACAAAGATGACACTCCAAAGCCACAAACCAAATAGCTTAAAATATGGAGTAAAACATTTTTTTCATAAATAAATAGACTTCTGTACTCACCACAATCAGACTATATGTATTTAAATTCTCATGTCGGTGCCAACCCGAAAAGAGTTGAGAGAGAATGACACAAATCTAGGCGTTACTATGCTGAGTAGGTACGCCTAACAAAGCTCTACGAACATAAACGGAATTATTTCCCTTTCGTACACGGACACGATATGAAAACATATTTTTGATTTTGTTTAGTGAAGCTTATGTCATGCAAAATAGGTATACAACATGTTAATATGTATATATAATAAATTACCCGACAGTATAAAATTAGAAACTGGAACAATGTTTAAAAGTTAGTTGACAAAATGGTTACAAAAAAAATGTCTATAACATAATATTTTCTGTAATAAGGAAAATATGACAGATGACAAAATAGCTAACTTCAATATTTGCACACATGCCTGCAGATAGAATATATGTACTTACTTCTAAAAAATGTATCAACTTATGAACTGTATTTTGTCAAATAAATTATGTTATAATTATTATTATAACGCTTTGCATAGTTATATTCCTGACGTATGAGAAGTGTGTTTTAATTTCCAGACAAGCTCGGACGGAGCGCAGCACGGGCGCTTCTTGCTTTGACCGAAGCCCGAGACCTATCTTTCTCCCTATTGCGGATGCTTCAGATCGACATCTCTTTGCCTTTCAAGTTTATTGGGTTACTAGTCACTTATCTTATTATTCTGCTGCAATTCGATAAAGTTATTCACAGTAGCCAATCGTAAATTGTTATTTACGACTGCCTACTGTGAATAGCATTTTAAAAATAGTTTTACATTTCTAACGTGCACTTGTTTGATAAGACTTAGAAAGTTATGGTTATTGATTATGGAAAGATAAAGTTAGAATTTTGCCTTTGCTGGGAAACCTTAATATATTTGTCGCTCAAATGTTTTTCAAAATGAGAAAAATAACCACTCTGTACTACCACCTGTAATAAAATGTTTATTTTGTATTATTGCAAGTCACTGATTTTCACTATATAAATGCCACGATATTCAAAATACAGATGTTCAGACAACCGTACAGCGTTTCATTTATCATGTAGGTACAATATAATCTGTAGTATGACTTGGCTATATCAAGGCAAGAATAAAAAGGAAATGGTTTTCTATTACTTGAAAAGTAATTGAGTAATGTACAAGTGTAATTCAAGTTAAGTCATTCTATTTGACTCTATCTCCTTTATAATATTTAATGTGATTAATGAAGTAAAAATAATAAGTAGTTGTTTGATAAATGCTCGTATATGTTAGTTTCGTTATAAAAACAAAGTAAATCAGGAAGACTCTATAATTTCACGAGTATAGCAAATGTTGATTTGTTGTTACAACCTAGACCCAAGCCATTAATTTTCTTGATATATTTTAATGTCAAGGAAGTAACGTGTATTAAAAAGGCCAAAAATTGTAGACAACATACGATAATAATGCAGTCTCACACTAAACAGATGATTATTATGGCAACGAAATAACATATCAAATTCAAATATACCATAAATATTAAAATACGGACATGAATATTCATATTCATAACGCATACCTAGAACATAAAGTAGGTAAACTTGAAATCTATTTTTATTAACATGTTAAGGGTTATCGCGTTTTAATCGTGTTATCATCGTGCCTCTGTTCCATTGTCTAAGTAACTTTCGTTAGTAATTATTATAACGACCCGAAACTACACAAATTAGTTCCGTCTCGTTAGGAGTTCAACCGACACAATGGCGGCTATAGTAATTCTAAATTGTTACGATTACTAACATGGGTAGTTGTCAAAGTAAACTATTTCTAAAGTTTACAACACTCGGGCACGGTTCGGGGACACTTTAAAGGCACCAACTCGCCGGGGAGAGCGCATTATATCCGGAGTTCCTACCTTCCATTCGAGGCATGCATACGATATCAAAACGCGTCTGAAATCAGATTTAGTCTGAGATGTGTTCGTATTCACTTAGGTATATTGAAATTTTCAGTAAAACGCTTTTTCTCTTTATTGCTCTTGGGTACCTACGTACATACACATAGGATACATACAATCCATTGTGGGATGGGGGGGTACATAATCTCTCTGCTTCCGCTTTTCTTTTTAATTTTATGGTTTAACAGTTTTAATGCTCGAGTTTATAATGTGTCGTATATGTGAATGAACACTAGAGCTTTGGGTGGTGTTTCCGAAAAATAAAAAGTACAGCATTTAGGATATTAGTTATTGATAATATCTCAAAAGTTAGACTGTCAGTCAGTTTTGGCGTGAAAATACAACACACAGGCAGAGCTCCATTCGCATTTCTTGATTAATGAATATTATTTAGTACGTACCACACCACACGTCGCAGAGAAAAGTTTCAACCCCATCATCTGGACGCTTGGAGTTCTATCATCATGCGTTACGCGCGTTTCTTTTTGTTGCATTCCAGCCAGATCTGGAACGAACTTCCTTCAGCGGTTTTTCCTTTAAGCTATGATATGGTAATCTTCTAAAGGTGGCTAAACGTTTTCCTTCAGAGCCGAAAACGCATGAGTAACCATCAGATCAAAAAAATGGGATAATATTGTGTCTGTAAAGCAAGAAATATTATTATATTTAACAGTACCTGGTTCACAGGAAATATACCGCTATAACTGGAATGCTTATTCGGGAAAGTAAGCACGTTACAGGAGACTGCAAATAAATAACTTTTAGAGATACTTATCTCTACTATAGGTTCAAAGGTCGAGTACTCTCATGTCCTTGTTCGTAGATAAAGAACATAACAAGTGTGGAATAGGAATGCCGTCGGGAGTAAAATTTTTGAAATCATCTCCCTGCAACAATCTTTTCAGAGCTTCACGGGGTAGGGGAATGTGTTAAGGCCAACAAGTTAGCGTGATGTGTTCAGAATCGGATGCGATGGAGTAATGTAACGAGTCTTGTATATAAAAGTTGTCAAGACATCCGTCCGTATAGTATCCGTTTTATGCTTAGTAAAATTGAAAACTCACTTCGAAACCCGATGATGATTCGAGTAAAAATTGGGATCACCCATAAGTATCCTCGTCGTATGCGCGCCAGCATTCGCAGTCTATCTGTCTCTGGGCACACATCTCGTTACATTGGCGATAAATCACCCGGGACAGTCCTATGTATATTGGGGATCTCCGCCGATACCTACGCACTTCTCGATGAATGATCGATGTCCCCCGATTAATCGAACCAGGACTTTTGAAGTACAATCAACAAAACATCAGTTTTATCATTTAAAATCTCCAATTTATCGATAATTTATAGGTATTCTTAGTGCATTTGATATAATATTCTATTCAATATCTATTGGGTAAGTAATGTTGTGTTATATGTTATTTGGTGATGTGCATTTCACAGTAAAATTAGGCATAAGGCTAAGTCCCTAGGCGGGTACTCCAATTCGAGGAGAAAATTTACTATCCTATAATAATGAATGTTACGGTAAGTCTGAGGTAACAACTCTTAGGAACCTTGCTCGTTTTGTCCAGTTAAGCGTAGAGTATCCCTGATTAGGATCCCCCACTCCTATTAGAAAAAGCTCTAGTTCTCAAGAGAATTCGCAATGACGACAAGTTTTGTTTGACAGATATCTGGAAATTCGTTTGTTATTAGGACATTCTATATGTAAAAATATGAAATTAAAAAGCTCCCACGGTCGACTCTCGACCTCGCTACGTTAAATGGAAGATTTGCAAATGGAATGCAAATGTAGCTGAGCATTCTGACAGGGCAATTATACAACAGCGCACCAAAAACCAACGTGTATATCAAACCATATATTTTTCCTTTAGGACAAGGTCTGATTTACAGAATATAATACGAAAGAAGACGCTTTTCATTTGTACTTGTTTTGGTAATGAAGTTCTTTTGTGTAAATATTTAAAATTTTATTGCTGATTTATTTTGTGTAAGATGCTATCTCTAGATAAGTAACAGGTGCATTTAACTTCATTCCAGCTTAATCGATTTATTAATTCCAGAGGGATGGAGTCTAATACCTTCGTCTTTTTGACCTATATGACTACTAAAACTTGTCTAATTGTATGTTTCGCATTCACACGTGCATAAGTATTATTACTTAATGAAATATACTATACGGTTTCGTTTATTGAGTGCTATGTTAAAGGAGGTTCTATAAAAAATAACATGCGCTTATAATCTTTCTGTTTTATGGTTTTCATATCTGCTGCTGCTCAACTATAATTTTCTTATCATTTTGTTCAATGAACTCAAGGAACCTTACATTTTAGAAAATTTTGACCTTCCATTCTTCAGCTATTCTCAAAAACAAAAACATCAACTAAGTAATAGTGAGGGAAAAAGAACGGTTATGTTTTGAGAATTATTATGATGTTTGTTAGAGAAAGGTTTGTTTGACCTCTTTCTTATCTCATATCCCACCGGAGGGTCCTGTCAGCTGCTAACCCAATTATAACCTCGGAGATTTCACAATCCGTGGCGCGAATTAGCGTTGAAGAGCGTCCTCCAAATTTTGTTAGCTAAATTGCTCAGATTTGTTTTTTTTATATTTCAATATTATGAAGTACATGTTTACGTACCTTCTGTTAAATGATTTCAGTGTATAAAATATACTGAAAAAATAACTTTTTTACGAAGTAGCTAAATAGTGTTATACAGAAACATATTTTTTGCAACTAAGGATATCTTTCTGCTTTAAAGTGTTTTTCACATTGTTTTGCGATCTGTGTGATATACAAACCCTATTACTAATCCACTGTTATCCCTCTGCCTACCATCCGTCTGTCAGACACCGGGTTCTATCCGAGGAATCTAAATGTAGAGTTAAAATTTTCACAGAAAATGTATTTCTATAACAAATAATAAAAATAAAGAAATATGATTTTTCCTCGCTGCTAGTAGACATTATTGATGGGGAAGGTAGCTTTAGAAACAGCTTGTAAGTGATTTATTATTGAATATGGTAAAAAGATAAAAAAAACTTTGCCACTTACATGAACTCTATAAAGAACTGATTGTTGTCGTAACAGAAAAACATATAGTTCTTCACCACAATAGTAATAGTAGTGACAAATAAACAACAATAGAAAACATTAAAAGTTTTGTTCTCCAAAGTATCGAAGAAGTTTCTTCTTGATAGGTACCTACTACAAATTTGTTCCCACTCAAGAAAGTTATCATAGTTTGCCATAATTTGTACGGAGTTTGCGTAGAACAATGTAGCTATGGATGAATAACTCGATATGTGTTCGTTGTGCAGTTAACTCACTGCTAACACTTTAATTATGTGATACTTGATTATAAAGGACATTTTAATCAAATCAAGTGTAGTGTTTAGGGGTCAAGTACGCAACGCTTATATTAAAAAAAATCAAGTCAACGTGGACGAAGTCGCCGAAGGAAGCTTTTAGGAAATAAATTAAAAAGCTAATCTGGGAGATTAGATTTGTTTATTAATGATTAAATACATACTTTTTCGTAGCAATAATTTACTTAAAAGGTACCACACATCTACACTCAGTTTTAGCCAAAGTAGGAATATCATAAGAATATTTTTAAAATTTACAAACAAATAAGAAAGGGGGAAAAAGTGGATATAAAGAAATGGGAAAAACTTAATTTGAAAGTGTCTGCCTGGAATCTAAGGTTAGCATTATGCCGTCGAAGACTGAAGTCTAGAGCTCTGAGTGCTGACGTTGGTTTTCAATTAGACCCCAGATACTTTCAAGCATCTACTAGCGGCCGCCCGCGACTTGAAAATTTATTTTTTGAGAATCCCATGGGAACTTAACATTTTCCCGAGATAAAAAGTATTCTAGGTCTCAATCCAGTAAATAAACTATGTGCGTAACAAATTACGTCCAAATCCGTTCAGTAGTTTCTACGTGATTGAGTGACAAACAGACAAACTTTTACATTTATAATATTAGTACGATAGCTATCAACGACTTTGCTCAAACTTTACCTTTAATTTAATGTATCTTAAATTTACATTTTCCCTAATATCATCTTAAGAATTATTGAATTTAAGCGAC